TTTTCGAGGATCGCGGGGGTTTCTATACTTCGCAACGATGGGGGGTCTGTGTAGACTACTTTTGGCCTTCCCGCCGCGTTTTTTCCGAGCCTATTTCGGTCCTTTTATTAGCTTTTGAACTTCAGAACACCAGCATTTGACTATTTACGGAAGGACGAGGTCTGTACTGTATAGGAAGATGGGGATCCATGTCCGAACATAGACAAAGATAGCGGGTAGATTAGGGCATTCGAATCACCAACAAAATTTCGACACAGGATCTGCAACACCAGCTAATAGGCATCCGAGGACTACGAGCAGCTTGGTCTAACTACGTAGTATAAATCTGGGGGGGCACGACATACGCCCTATCTTTGGCACACGGACTTCGGTTCACCCTCCTGACGAGATCTGTGCGGTGGGCAGACGAAACCAGTCGAGGGATTTCACCATTGCTTTGTTTGTTTGGTGGTCTTTGAAGTACTTACACACGACTGATCCGAAAATTCAAAGTTTTATTTTCTGACAGCTATGGTGTTATCACTTTTGGTTGGAGTGTTCAAATCTTGTGGCATTCGAAAATCGGAGTTTTTGAATTTTGTTAGCTGTGGTGATATCACTGTGGTTCGTGTATTTCAAACTTTATGATTTTCGTAATTCAACTCTGTTTGTACTGCTGCCTAGATTGTTTTGCCGCGGTCTGCCTCACTCTTAGGCGCATAGTAACCGGTAGCCTGGAAGTTAGCTGGTGGCTATGTCCACAACTGAATGCAGAGTAATCAGGTGAAGTTTTTTAGACAGCTTGATTTTGTGACTAGGTGCAGAAGCTGGAGGAGGTATGTTCTCGCTAGATTTGTAATATAGGCAGGTTGATGTTGTAACTAGGGTCAGAAACCATAGGAGGAATGTTCTCTCGAGATTCGCGATTCAAGTTTTCCACGTCTCAGTGGGTTTTTGGGTGAATAGTCTTTAGCTCTCGATCCTGGGAGATTGAGGTGGTGACGAAAGTTCATCAAGGGTTTTTCGATTAGAGTTACGAGTTTGTCGTTTTCTCGAACTTTTTTAGACAGGTTGATTTGTGACTAGGTGCAGAAGCCGGAGGAGTTATGTTCTCGCGAGATTTGTGATATTAGGCAGGTTGATTTTGTAACTAGGGTCAGAAACCATAGGAGAAATGTTCTCTCGAGATCTGCGATTTAAGTTTTCCACGTCTAAGTGAGTTTTTTTTGGGTGAATAGTCTTTAGCTCTCGATCCTAGGAGATTGAGGCGCTGGCGAAAGCTCGTCAAGGGTTTTTCGATTCGAGTTACGAGTTTGTCGTTTTCCTGAATTTTTTTTCATGGCTTGAGAGTTATTTGGGGAATCGACTTTAGCTCTAGATCTCGAGAGATAGAGGTGCTGGCGGAAGTTTTTCTTTTGAGAAGTCTTTGAGGATTGTGAGGATTTTGAGCTTTGAGGATTTTGAGGATTTTGAGTTTTTTTTAGCTTTGAGAATCGTTTTTGAATTCGAGCTTCAGGTTGTCGTTTTGAATTTTCCTGGCATTACGTTTCGCTATCGGATAGCCAGAGGGAAATGTTGACGTAATGACATACCGAATTTAGCTTTGACCGCATCGGGTATAGCTATGCTTGGCACTGGGATGGTACTGATCGGAACAACCCTTATGATTATTGGCTTAATATTCCAAGACAATGGTACCATTCAGGTGTATTCGGTGTGGACAAAGACACACCAGACGGGGTGTCGAAACAGCCCGCAATAGGTTGATCAACCTATTTTCGGGATATATACGGTGCATTATTCGACCAACCTTCTTCTTGACACGTTATATTGAAGACCAAAGAATTAGAACGATTCTTTATTAGAAAATTCTGACAATCTTGGGAAACGTTCATAGGATCTTAACATACAACGAAGTGATGGACGTCTGGCGGGTCTGCCCGGTTACGCAACGCATGTGTTTACTCGAGAATCTTATCACATATCCATTAGCCACCGATAGCTGGATTTTGGGTGACTATTAGGGGCCACAGGGATTAGTAACAAGCCAGGTGAGTTCACACGATCCTGCTGACAGGCATTTGCAGACTGATAATCTGCGGGACACTTTTCCGGATAGATATTATTATTATTATTATCTATATCTGGGATATTGGTTGTAGGTGAGGTGCCGACCACAATGTACCTTATCAATGAGAACAATGGTTTAGGTGGCACGGGCTTCGGTGGCAGAGGGCCAATCAACGGCAAGCCCCTGCAAACCGTACTAGGAAGGGGGTATGGCTTCGGCGGAGTAGCTAACGGATCACAAAACAACAATACGTGCAACTGCGGTAAGACGGGCCACAATGGTTTAGGTGGCAACTGCGGTAAGACGGGCCACTATGCCAGGGAATGTTTTGCACGACGAGGACGCCCAGGACCTCAAAGTTTCGTTGATCCAGAACTTGAGGAAATAAAAGAGCAACATCGGCTGGCGAGGAAGGAGATACAAGAGCTTGAAGAAAGAAAGAAAGTCGAGGATGAAAAGAAAGCCAAGGAGGAAGAGGAGGCTAGGAGAGATCGAGACTTTGCGCAAAAGGCCGAGGAATTTAAACTCCAGATAAGAACCGAGCTACTTGAAGAATGGAGGAAAAAGAACGAGGATGCGGAGACGACTACTCGAGATATGACGACGTGTGAAACAAAACTCCATAAAAAAATCTCGAAGGGCCCGAAGACGGAACAAGAGGATACGCTATAAGGGGAAGAGATACTCTTCAGATTCACAAGACACATCAAGCTCTTAGGACTCACTGGAAACAGAGTCGTATGGTTCGACCACCGAATCCGAGTTAGCAACAAGTTGGGCGAAAACAAGGAAGACGAAGACACTAAGCCGTAGAAAGACGAAAACAGGGAAGGAGAGGAGTGGGCCAAACGACTCACCACCGAAGGAAATACCAAGGACCTTTGAACGAGGGGAATGTTCAAAAAGGAATAGGCAAGCTAGGAAAGAGAAGACTGAAGCTGAGGTTTCTCTGGCCGAAAAACAGGAACCGAAGACCCCACTCACCGGAGCATATAAGGGCCTGTCGGCGGAATGTTCGCAAAAGGGCATTATTGAGTACTGCATTTCGGCACATAAGATCTTCTTAGCCAAGAAGACGACGGATCTGTGCCGGATATGCGACAAGAAGGGTCTCTGATACAACAAGAAGCCTAAAGTGGTGGAGATGCTAGCTCGACAACAGGTTGAGCTTGCATATGAAGGATTCGACGGATACGAAGATATGAAGGGGAAGATCGAAGAAATGCACGACAAGACGCCGAGATACAAGGTTGGGAAGGAGAAACAGGCTCAGCACACACCTGCTCAAAGGAAGTCGAGAGTAACTCGCAAGTCAGCTACGGCGCAACCAGAGGACGAGTCGGACTTACAGTGTCAAGCCCCTTCTAACGGTATACTCTGGGAGACTTTACAAAAATGGCTCCATATGAGATACCGGTTGTGGGGGCTGAAGGTCACAAGTGATACCCTAAGGAGAGTTGAATCGGCGATTGCTACCACGACACTGCTGTTGGCAGAAAGGGGCCCGATGCCATGGATACAGAAGATTGTGGCGAGGTTTGAAAGAGTACTTAGTATGTTGGACCTGAAAACACCAGGAGTATATGCCATCGTAAGCCCTTGGGGCCTGGGCTAGGAAATGTACATCAGGTGTATGGTACATCCGCTTATCCAACGTTGGCGAGAACACTACAACAACGCACGTGACGAAGCCATTGGACTTACACCTCATCTATACCGGTGGATGCGCGCATTTGGACCCGATAAGTTCGTATTACTACCGATTCGACATGTAGGGAAGGAGGACGACTACGTGTTCGAGAGTTTTTTTATTATGGACTTATGTCCCAGTTAAAATACTCGAGAACTGGGTAGAAGGGAGAAGAGGATTAGATCGAATAGAAGACGCAGAAGGAGAGAAAGGAAGGGTCGTAGGTACACTAGTATGATGAAAAATATCATTTTCTTCGAGGCAGGGTGGCTTACTTTCACTTCGATGATGAAGTGGCTCGAAGATTGCAAACCAGAAGTAGGAGTAGGGACTGCGAAAATGATAACCATATATGGAGGCAGCAGATGGTCCGACGACTGGAGAAAGATAACTACATTCAATGGTGATTCCAAGATTAAAGTGAACGGGACGGATATGCTACTACGATATGCAAAGTTGGCACTACAACGGGGAGCTGTTTTGGAGATTGTAAAGTCGATCCGGACAAAGACTTCCACGAAAGTGAACAGACAGATCCTAATCAACGTGCTAAAACGACCGAGACCGCTGGTATTCTTCACGACGATGACTACCAACAAGCTCATTGGTCCGCGGTACTTTCGCTAAGGCCAAGACAAAGTTGTCACTACGCTTGAAGATCGACAGGGTTGTAGTGGCAAAAGCCGGTTTGAACATTCGAAGGAGGATCAATTTAAAACTTCCTTACGATCCGAGAGTCAGGAAGGTTGGCATTCGAAGAGCTACAGAAGCTGTAATCGACGAGAGAGTGGAACACAGAGCATTAGCTAACTTCGTCAAAAAAACAATTAGGATTGTCGGAAAGCGGAACAAAAGAGTTGGTGAGATCATCCACAACCAGAAGCTGTATGCCTGTGAGGAGGAGAGGCGATGCCCATGCTCGTCGTTCTCATTGCCAAAAACGGATGGGCATGTCGTGACCAGGTTTGGTGGCCTGGATACTTAACTCATTCCAGAATTGTTCCAGAATATGACAAGACCAGAGAGAATGCAAGATGAGCGACTACTAAAGCTCATAATTTTGGAGGCAACAAAACAGCTGGGAGGAAACCTGATGAAATGCCAGCTTCCAGAGGATATCTTCATCAAGGATCAGCAGAAATATGCCGCATGGACAGACGGCGAGGTACAAAGATGGTCTGAGGTAATTCAAGGGTTGGTTCTAGTATCAATCGATAGGAACCAGGGTGATCCGGCAGTCATCTGTCTGATTATTTACAGACATGCATTCGGCAAGGTATTCCTCTGGAATACGAACTACGAAACGTCAGGAGTATTGGAGGAGGAACCTGACATTCTCCTATGGTGCAAACAACTATTTCGGGAAAAAGGGCTCCAGAATCTCGGCCCATGGAAACCAGACGGGTGGTTGGGAGTCACCTACGTTATACCAAAGCACAAGGACCTCCAGCGATGGACACCTATTGCACCAGCTCTTGCCGACCCCGCGGGAGTTGCACAACGGAGGATTGCTAGAGCTTTACATTATTTGTTGATGCGGGTACCTATCCATAACTCGTTCTTCCTGAACTCAGTCGGAGATATCGGCGCTAGGCTGGAAGCTACTGCACACAGCCTACACGCGGAAGGATGGCGGCAAGCTGTAGGGAGATGCTATGACATCAAGGAGATGTTTGCCCACATTCCGCACACGGCTGTAATGCAGGCGGTGCATCAGCTCGTAAGGAGATTTGAAGATTGGGACTGGAAACTAGTGAAGGTGTCATACCGGGCGAAGGCCTGTATTCTGAGTAAGACGGCAAAAGCAACAGACGAATATATGAAGATCAACCTCAAACAGTTACTAGACGCAGTAGAATACGACTTACGACATTCTCTGATCCGTTGCGGGTCGAAGGTGATGCGCCAAGTTTTCGGTATCCCTATGGGCAAATCAACGACCCCAGTGCTGGCCTGCATAACATGTGCAATGGCCGAAGAGAAGTTCCTCCGGGAAATCGGTGCAGACCGTAGACTGATAGGAGGCTGGAGGATTATGGATGACATTTCACTGGTGGTGGGATGCAGACCAAACGATACCCAGGGTAACACGTCAAACTTCCTCTTCGAACTTTTTGAGAACAATTATGACGAGAATCTGGAAATCGTCTGGAAAGACAAATGCGGTTGGACCTGGGATTTCGTGGGAGGGACAATGTTCGTCCGAAACAATCCGATTGAACTGCATTATGTTCCCAACACGAAAAACATTGAGGCACTACACGAAGAAGGAAGACTGGTGTTTCAGACAATGCGGGACTACGCATCCTTCACGGAGAAGCAGACCAAGAAGGTTGTCCTCGCTGCTACGATTAAGCGACTATAGGCACACTCTACGTACAGGACATTGGTGATCGGTACTATCGCATACACGATCTGTGAGGCAAACCTCCGCGGTTACCCCCCGAAGGTCTCTCTCGGTGCCCTGGCCATTTTGGCCAAGGCTGCGAAGACCAGAGCCCTGAACGTCATGCTCAAGGCATTTATTCATATTACTCCAAGCAGAGGTTCCAAGGTTTCTATTAGAGCGCGTACATAACTCTGATGCTGAATAAAAGTGGGGTTTTCTGTTTGGTTTTCTGTTTTCCTGTTTTCCTGTTTTCTGTTGTTCTGCTTCTATTTTCGATTTTATTTTCGGTTTTATTTTTGGTATTTTATTTTCAATATTTTATATTTTAATCACGAAGATACAATGAGAGGAAAAATACTTTTGGGCTTTTCAAAGGTTCGGGGTGGGCCCGATCGCACATCGAGCACAATCAAGTATACCGGACTCACTGGTTGCTATCGACCGATATTTTTGAGAATCGCGGGGGTTTCTATACTCCGCAACGACGGGGGGTCTGTGTAGACTAATTTTGGCCTTCCCGCCGCATTTTTTCCGATCCTGTTTTGGTCCTTTTATTAGCTTTTGAACTTTAGAACACTAGTAGTTGACTATTTTCGAAAGGACGAGAGTTGTACTCTATAGGAAGATGGGGATCCATGTCCAAACATAGACAGAGATAGCGGGTAGATTAGGACATTGGAATCACCAACAAAATTTTTGCACAAGATCTGCAACACCAGCTCGTAGGGACGCGAGGACTACGGGCAGCTCAGCTTAACTTAGTAGTATAAATTTATGGGGGCACGACATACGCCTTCTCTTTGGCACACGAACTTCGGTTCACCCTTCAGACGAGATCTGCGTAGTGGGCAGACGAAACCGTTCGAGGGATTTCAACGATGCTTTGTTTGTTTGGTGGTCTTTGAAGTACTTACACAGGGTTGATCCGAAAATTCAAACTTTTATTTTCTGACATCTATGGTGTTATCACTGTTGGTTGGAGTGTTCAAATCTTGTAGCATTCGGAAATCAGAGTTTTTGAATTTTGTCAGCTGTGGTGATATCACTGTGGTTCGTGTATTTCAAACTTTGTAATTTCCGTACTTCAACTCTGTTTGTACTGCTGCCTAGATCGTTTTGCCGCGGTCTGCCTTACTCTTTCTCTCTCCACAAGCGGTTATCGGGTAGCTGAAAATTCAGGAATGAAAATTCTGAAGTGAGAGTTTTGGACAGTCTAAAAATCCTGAACGGTCCTGAAGTGGTGAAAGGTTTGAAGACCCTGAAAACCACCTGTTTAGGCAGGCTGCATCCTGAAGTGGTCAAGTGAGAGTTTTGGGCAGTCTGAAAATCCTGAATGGTCATGAAGTGGTGAAAGGTCCGAAGACCATGAAAACCACCCTTTACCACTTGAGGATATAGCCTGCCTAAACAGGTGGTTTTCAGGGTCTTCAGAGCTTTCACCAGTTCAGGACCCTTCAGGATTTTCAGTCGTGAATGGTCCTAAAGTGGTGAAAGCTTCAAAAACCTTGAAAACCACATATTTAGGCAGGCTCCATCCTGGAGTGGTGAAGGGTGTCGTGTAGTGGTGATGAAAAATACGACTATATTTAACCTTCTCTCTCTCTCTCTCTCTCTGTGTCTCTCTCAGGCCCGTTGGTGTCGCCCACTTTGATGATGCTGCTACTGCCCGTTTATCTCGCTTCTATAACTCGTCGGTCTGGCACACATCGATGTTGTTTGTCCGTCCATTTCCCCCTGCTTGTTGTTGCGGCCACTTGCTCGACCGCAATGGGTCTCCCTCCCTGGCTCACCCCCTCCCTCCCTCCCTCTCTCTCTCTCTCTCTCT